GTGTCATTAACTCAATGAAAGTAAATTTGAGCAAACTCTGGAAAATAATGGAGAACTGAGGGAGGAAGAGCTGGCATGCTATGGTCCATGAGGTCGCAAAGAATCGGACATGACTTAGCGACTAAACAAATTTTCTCAAAGCCTTGGGCATGGCTACCCAAAACCCTGAAGTTCCTTGGAAAATATAAAAAGTACTCACATTAAGTATATTGCTTTAATTTTGAAGTAAATCAAAAATTTCTATTCTGATCCCAACAATTTATTTGTCTTGGCTTCACCTATTTTTTTGTAGTGCATCCACTAATATATCACTCAAAGATCAGATGTAGCCCTAAGCCTAAAATAAATAAAAGTATGTTCTGATATACAAGACCTTGTCCCAGATGAATTGCTAGTCCCAGAAAATAATTAATGAGAACTGCATTTTACTGCTGTGCACTTTCACAGAGCTTAAAAGGACCACTAAGAGCTTTTGATTAACCTGTTGGGCTTTCCTTTTTGTCCTTTAGCACTGCACTGCATTTCTTGTTTTTACATTTTTTTTCTGGCATCCCAGAATCCATTATTGATCAAACTCCAGGAGAGCAAGAATAATATTCATGTATCTGCATCCTGCAAAATGTTGCAATATGATCCACTAGTAGAGATAGATGCACAAACACACAAACATAGACCACACACACACACGCACACACAGAGACACACTCACCCCTACGTTAAAAGCATACAAAAAAGACATCACCTTTATGTCTAACTAAGTATAGATTTTATATTTCAAAGAGAACTTTAAATTAGCTTATATTCCATTAAAGAAGCATGGTAAATATTTCCAAGTCTTAAGCTTCCTCCCATCTAAATGTAGGAACAGAAGAAAGATTGTTGTTTTACTAATAACAGATCCACAAACAATGGACAACTAAATTGTTTTCCAGTAACCATCTCATTATGATTCTGATGTAGATGGTTTTGAATAATGTATTACTGACCTGTTACCTTACTTTCAGCTTTGGCCCTTTCACATCCAGCATTTGTTACAACCAGGAACTGGTAAAATGCTGTCCCCCCCCCCTCCCCGCCATGATAAGATAAATCTTTGGTGTAGTCTCCGTTTTTTCTGACAGCCTAGACACCTCAATGCATTTTTCTTGGCAACAATGTAGAAGCGGTCCTTGATTACTAATAGTGTTTCCCACTATACCTCTGGGATTTCCTGGAGGCCTCCCATCCAAGCACTTGCCAAGCCTAACCTTACTTAAGTTCTCAGTTTAGACCAGATCAGTGAAGTATTGCTCCTGCTACCTAGTTCTTTAAGTAGATGAGCCAAGACTGCAACATTTCCGTTTGCTAGTGCTCTTCAGGGCTTTTCCCCCCTTTCCCCCTTCTTGTTTTTCTCTGCCTCCCTGCCTTCTGAGTTCAAATGAGCCATAGCTTTCTCCCTACTACTCCCCCCAATACATACATACATACATACATACATACATACATACATACATACATACATACATACATACATACATATTTCTGTTTGGTTGCAGCTGTTGGGAGAGCATCTGTTGCAAAAGCATGGTATTATGCCATCATCACAGATTTGCATGAGAAATAATAAGCAAAAATATTGATACTTTGATAAATAGCTTTGTTCTTACACCAATTTTGTTTGCTTTTTTATTCCAAGTGGCCAAATAAGCATATTACATTGTACAGGTTCTTGGCTAACAACCACTCATTTTGTTGACTATTCAAAGTTGCAAGGTGCTAAAAAAGCAACAACAGGTTCTTGCACTTATGACTTTGCTGCATCCCCATGAACACATGATTGCTATCTGAAGTGCTTGGCAATCAGCTTGCATTTATGATGTTTGCAGATCACATAATTGCCATTGTAACTTTCCTAGCCACCTTCTGACAAGCAAAGTCAACGAAGAAGCAGGCAAGGAATGTAGCAAGTTAGAGTCACATGATACCATGCTTAATAGCTATACGGCTTAACAATGAATTTTCCAGTCCAATTATGGTCAGAAGTCAATAACTACTTGTGTTTTGTAAACACAGGGGAAGGAATACTATAAATTATTGTTCCCTTCTATGTGAGATATAGATGGGAAGATTTTGACTACTCCAAGAGTGGCTGTAGCTTAAGGCACTAAATTGACTGAATGATGATTTTTGCACTCTCCAATTTATGGGCAGAAGAGAAAAATAATTACCTCATAGTATTCTCTCTCTCTCTTCTTACCGTTATAAAGTTGGCAGAAATGAAAATGAGTTTACAGAAGGTCTCGAACACTTTAGTGGGGTTATGAAATAAATATGGAATTATATGGAACATGCCTTTTATATATTAAAAGTGCCTATTTATATATAGAGTTATATATTGCATTTCATGGTTCATGCCTAAAACTGACTTTTTCTAGGAGAATGAAAAAGAGCTGGAGACAAATATTATTTCAAAATTCTCCATCAAAGTTGTAGGCAATGAAATTAGATTAGTGATTCTTCAGGGAAAAAAGGATTCTCCAATTTGTCAGGAGGCAGAGATCTATAATGGAAGAGGAAGTTTCTCTCAGGCCATTGGAGATGTGATTGCACAAGAAAAGGCAGGTGTCAGGGTTCCAAATAGCATCCAAAAGTAAATCAGAGTCCGAGGCAAAGTATTGCTCAAAGTTCCAATTTATGTTGGCACATCTGGGAAAACCCGAATCTGAAAGTGGTTTTCCCCACCCATTTGAAAGTTCAAGAACTTGCCCCCATACTCACAAGTCCATCACATGGTCAAATCTCCTACTGCCATGCTGGCAGTTCTACCCATCCAATTCTGGTCAGGTGCAGAGGTGCAGAGACAAAGGATGACCATGGCTTTTTTAGAAATAGTTTTGTTGTGACTACATAATATGTGACTTCTTATAATCCCCCCTCCCATTTCCCCACAATAGAAAATGCATAGCAGAATAATAGAAAGTATGGCAAGCTAAAGACCCAAAAGAAAAGATGGCTGCAGGCCTGATAGCAGGACTTAACACACCTTTACTTCAGAGGCTCATATTTAATATGTGTAAGGACACCATTCTCCAGATATTAAGATTTTGTCCACAATTTTCCTTTGCGTCAATTTCTAATGCAACTTTTGCTTTTTCAGGTAAAATTATAATGACCAGAAAAGTGTGTTGTGTGTGTGTCTGTGTGTGTGTGTGTGTATTAGCATGGCCAAAGTTTGCAAACAGGATATAAAAGACCTCTTGGAGGAAAGCTCCAGCTGGCAGTACTGTATTATATAATTAACAATGTCAGTTATTGACTAATCTATGTTTAAACACCAGGACAAATCTGAGTTAAAATGTATACTTTGAAAATTTAGACTTAGATCCTGCTTCTTTCATTTTTCTCAACTTTGTAAACTTTTTTTTAATGAATTTGGCATAATTTGCTGGCGAGAGTCTAGTGCTAATCAACAGTTCTATTCTATTGCAGCCTTATGCATATCTCCTAAGAAATTACATCCTGTTTAGTTCTAAAGTTTACTTTTATGAAAGCAAATTTTTGAAAAACTGCCTATACAATTGGCAATATTTAGGTTTGCAATTGTGATTTAGGAAAATGTTCCAAAGCTTAAATTTGAATAAATTGCTAGAGTAACTAACCTTTTTGCAGCATGGTTACTCTGGCTTAAGGCATAACTTTAAACAAATATCCTTCAACTGACACTCCTAATATTTAAGAAACTTTGATGAAAATGAAACTTTTCAAATATTTTTAAAAAGTTTAGGGGAAAGGAGTTGGATCCATTTAGATATCTCATTTTTTAATTAGGTCTTATTTGTCTCAGTATTTTAGGAGAAGCAGTCTGTGTCACAAATGTTAAATAACTAAAATAACAGATTATGATGGTTCTAAATGGCAATGTCGGTCAAAGATTGTTCATCTACTGCTGCTCCATAAACCCCAAGAACAGGACTTTATGCAAATGTGCTTAGAGAAGAATACTTAATCTAAATTCATATTTAATGTTTAAAATCAAATTATTTCAATATAAGAAACAGTTGGAAACTCTCTGATCATGTTTTGATCCTAGCACTGTTTTCTTTTCACATGTATCTTGAAAATATCAGGGGAGGCCCTGGTTTGGATACCATCTGATAAGAAAACAAATTGTGGATTCTTCAATTGGCTTTCCATGGTGTCCTTTTTCATACTCATACTAGTTACTTTTTAAGTTGTTTTTAATTATTCTGGATTGTTCTTTGGCCATTTTTCATTCAAGTTATTTTATGTAGTAGTGGAAACATTTCACTACTATGATATGTAGTTCCTCAAACATATGAAGAAACATTTACCTAATTTTTCAGCTATTTTTTTTACATCTGTTTTATTTTTTGTTTTCAATTCATAAAATTACAGTCACCCATTACTAAAAATGATCCTTCAAGAAGTTTGCTGGTTATAATTTTTGTCTCCTATTCACATGGTGTTTATATTCATGCATTGATTGACTGACTGATTGACTGATTGATTAATGTTCTTACACTTCTTAGAAGAAAAAAAGCATCAAATATGGTGCTAGCCTTTTACAAAATGTGCCATCTTGATACTAATGAATACAGATGATCAAATTATATGCTATAAAGGAATTAAATTGGTTTCATTACACAATCTTGTGTAGTATCTACCATGTTAGAAAATCAATATACCTTCTTGCAAATATATCGTAGAAAATTGCCTTGTTTTTTTATCAGCAAATGAAACAAATGAACATAGAACTATAATTCTTCCACATGATTAATTCTTGTAATAACAATTGAATGAGTTATTTCTATTCCTTTTAAAAATAATTTATTCAAGTTTCCATTTTTCTCCAAATAAATGCATGTGGCCTTAAGAAATATTTATTATAATTACTGGGGGGGGGGGGGGAAATGACTTTAACTGGGAAACAGAAAATACTAATAATAAATAGTTAAAACATGTTGTCTCAAATGAATTACTTATGTTTTGTTCCTAAATAGGTACTATTTCTGTCAACACAATGCGTACTCCATATACTGCACCAGGAGAAAGTGAGATCTTGGACCTTGATGATGATTTATACCTTGGAGGTTTGCCAGAAAATAAAGCTGGCCTTGTCTTTCCAACGGAAGTCTGGACAGCCCTTCTAAATTATGGCTATGTGGGCTGTATTCGAGACTTGTTTATTGATGGACAAAGTAAAGACATCCGTCAAATGGCAGAAATCCAGAGCACATCTGGGGTGAAACCCTCCTGTTCAAGAGAAACAGCAAAGCCATGTCTAAGCAACCCATGTAAAAACAATGGTGTATGTAGAGATGGCTGGAACAGATATGTCTGTGATTGCTCTGGTACAGGCTACCTGGGCAGGTCATGTGAACGAGGTAAGTCACTGTCTTGAGATCTTTGGTTTGCATAATGAGGACAGAATGGAATGAAACAGTCATATACATTCTACCCTGTTTCCCTGAAAATAAGACCTCCCCAGATAATAAGCTTAATCAGGCTTTTGAGCGCATGTGCTAAAATAAGCCCTCCCCGAAAATAAGCCCTCCCTGAAAATATTACAACACAGCAGCAGCCATGAGGTGATCACATTCACTGCCTCCTGCACCTCAAAAATAATAAGACCTTCCTGAAAATAAGGTCAAGTGGTTACTTCATGGTCAAAAGGAAAACACAATACTGATTTAATGTGTGTGTTTTTTTCTGCATACAATTATATGGATCTATCATTTGGTTAATAATAAACATTATTAATCTATAAAGCACTGAATGAAGCAGTGGACAAAATATTCCTCTGAGAAAGGAAAACTTCCATGAAAATGATCTAATCTTTAAATGCAAATTATTACTCAACGGAGCAAACTGATATAGAAATTGTTCAAAAAGTGGTATCTAAGGATATAATCCTCCCAATCTATTGTTGGGAGGATTATATTGTTAATGCAATATATGTAACAATAATAATACAATATTGTTCATTGCCTTCTAAGATTTTGGAACAATTTACTTGGTTTATTTTGCTGGATATAAAAATCAGGAAGATGCCAAATAGACCTTGCAGTATTGGTTAAATAGATAATGAAATTTATGAATGATATTTGATCAACACTATAACTTTAAAGCTGTCAACAATAAAAAGCTTTACAAGTGTAGTTTGCTTCAAAGGTAATGAAATCTGAATGAGGTGCTGCTTCAATGTGGCTTCATGAATATCACCCGCTGCCTCTAAACCAGCAGTGTTAAACTCGCAATGACACATTATCATCACGTGACATATTACAACTTTTTCCCCTTTGCTAAAATGATGGTAGGGGTGGCCAGCGCATAATGCATCTGGCCCATGGACTGCAAGTGTGACATCCCTCTCTAAACAAGTGGATGTGCTGTGTTCTTTTATTTAATGCCAATTTGGGGGCCTGTTCCAGAATGTCCAGGAATTAGAAGAGGCTTCTGTGTATGGAAATGCAAGATAAAGCCCAGAATCAAAATGAAATGTCTCAATAAGAACAATTACACTGCCATTGCCTTATCCTTACATATACTTCACTATAAAGGCCTAAATGCAAGACACATTGCATAGCCCTAGTGACTAGTAATTTTTCACACGAGAGCTTTGGCTGACCACCACACTCATTTTCAAAGCAGGTAACTCACAATGAGATTATGGTTTTCACAATATACCAAAAAAGAGAATATTTAAGAGAATTTATAGATTATCGGTATCAGAGGTGGTATTTAGCAGGTTCTGACCAGTTCTGGAGAACTAGTAGCAGAAATTTTGAGTAGTTCAGAGAACCGGTAAATACCACCTCTGACTGGCCCCGCCTCCATCTATTGTCTGGCTCCCAAGTTCCAGCTGATTGGGAGGGAATGGGGATTTTGTAGTATCCTTCACCTGGAAATTGAGATTTTACAATATCCTTCCCCTGCCATGGCCACCAAGCCACACCCACAGAACCGGTAATAAAAATAATTGAATCCCACAACTGATCAGTACCAAACAGAGAACAGGGTTTCAGTCCGAAATTTTTCAGGAAACAAGATGTTTTCTTGGCCCACAAAGTGAAAGAAAGATTTCACTAGACAAATGAAATTATATGGTTGGTAGGGATAAGAAGTAGAGATTTCTAGTCCTGGAAACAGGAGCAAAATAGAATCAGCTATATAACCACCATGAAGAATAGTTTACAATAGTTAATGCAAGAAGCCTCTTCTTAGGCAAAGGGAAAAAAATAACAATTGCTATCCTAACCAATGGATAATAATATAATTTCAGAAAAACACTACTAAAGAAAAAGTCTACTAAAGAAAGAATAATTTGACAGGGACGTTTAGGAATGGTCCAAACAAAGAAGGCAGAAATCCCTTCTGAGCAGTATAAAGAAATTCTATATCAATTTTTAGAGTAGTTCGATATTCTTAGATCTGTGAATCAACACCAGGCTTCAAAAGTCATAAGACAGATACTTCACATAGTGTCATAAGATTTTTCTGTAACATTGCTTTTATCTTTAGTATTTCCCAGTTTGGCAGTTTTCAGGCATGTGGCCTTCACCTCTCCAGCTACATTACCCAGTTTGGTTAAGTCATTGTCAGAGAGGATTGAGCTATTTTCTTGTCAGCACTTTAAATTCAATTCAATCATTGTACCACAGGCCACAAAGAAGGGTTACAATCTGATAAGCATTGCCAGATACCAGCATTTAGATAAGAGTAGCCTGTAACAGAAAGAGTATATGTCTTTCCTTAACTCAAATCAGCAGAAACCTTATTAATGCTGAGTTGATAGATCTCTTGTGTCTAAATGTTTCTCAAATATTTTTCTTTGCTATGGCATCGGAATAGAGTCTATAGGAAATAAAAAGTGTAAATTAATCACGGACAGATCCAACACCTCTGAAGTCCTCTGTTGTAGTTCTTATTGGTAATTGATCATGTTTGCAAGACATTTTCTGACATCTATACTCTAGCTGTTGTCCCAAATGTTTCATTAACGTAGCTCCCCAGTATACCAAGGAGCTGAGACAGGCTTTATGGTTTAATCAAAGACATTTGGGAGTGATCATCTCCAATCTTTCTGGTGGAGATGGAGATCTTATTAAGTCTACTACCTGCAACAAATTCCCTGAAAAGACTCCAAAAATGTTCTGGATTCACAGTTCCAAAGAAAATCAGTCACATTTATTTTCTACTCTAGCTGAGGTTATAGGTAGTTTTAAGGTTCAACTTCTTCAAGTAGTGATTTGTCTATGACAGTGGTGTCTGAGAAAATGAAACTTTCTCTGTGTATGAGCATCCCTAAAAATATAGCTTGGGAAGATAAGTGAAGCATAATTTTAAGTTTAATTGAAAAACAAGAAAGAAAATGCATGAAGGGGAAAGGCTGAGCTAAATAGTTAGCTAGTTACTCTCTCCTAGAAGGAGAATCAAGTATAAAGAGTCCATGCATATGTGAATTGGGATTAAAGAGCCTGTATTAGCAATGTGCTTGACCATAGATTTCACTTGCCCTGACCTTAAGATCATAACTGAGAAAAAGTCACCACACTGGTGCCTCTATCTTGGGGCCAGCTTTGTTTATTTAACAATCAAATTTGCATGCCACCCAACATCCGAAAGTCACTGTAATGGTGAAATGAGCAGCATATATTGCAATGCGCTCTACATGGGGCTGCCCTTGAAGAGCATTCAGAAACTTCAGTTGGTGAAAAATGCAGCAGCCCACATGGTTTTGTGCAGATCCTTGGTGCACATGTATTGGTTGGCGATTTGCTTCCAGGTGCAATTCAAGCTGCTGTTTTTCATCTTTAAGCCCTTCGTGGCTTGGGACCGAGTTATCTGAGGGACCATCTCTTGTCAGCCACATCTACCTGACCCATCATAGTGGGAAGACAGGGAATGTTGAGGGTCCCATCCCCAAGGGAGATGCACCTGGTGGAACCCAGAAGAAGAGCTGTTGTGGCTCCCTCTCTCTGGAACATTATTCCCCCAGAGATTAGAATGGCCCCCATTCTAATATTCTTTCGGAAGTCTCTGGTTCTGCCAGCAAGCCTGGGGAACCCAGACCAGGATGGAGCCCATTAAATGGTTCATGTGATCTGCTGACACCAGGACAGAAGATTGGAGATGGGGGTGATTTTGTTATATTGTACTATATTAATTTATTTGATTCTTTTTGTTAGGTTTTTTATTGTTTTTAATATGGTTTGATATTCTGCAAACCTCCTTGAGTCACCATGGGTGAATAGGCAGCAATATCAATTCAATAAATGAATAAATACATGAATATAGATTTTTTTTAAAAAAACAATGAACTCTAATGATTTTGGGCAGCTTCTGGCAGAAAAAGGACACCTTCCTCTATTCTGATTCTTTTGGAGAAAGAACCTAGAAAAGGAACCTGCAGAGCTCCAATGGATCCTTCTCTTCTAGTCATGGGTCTCTGTGATCATTTCCCCTTTTCCTGTCAGAGAAAACAGAGCCTTCCTAGGCAGTGTAGGTGGTTGTTGTTGTTTCTTTGACTCCAACAGGAAGGCATTCCAGACACTGATATTTCTATGTGATTGCAATGCTTTCCTCTATGGATTATATAACCATACCTGACTAGTGCACAGTTGTGGTCTTTCACACAAAGAGGAACTCTGTGCAATCAGATTTCTCAGCATGTGGAATACTGTCAATTTCAATTCTTTTGCACAACCTATGGTAACATTGACTACATGACACTACAAAGTCTTATAATATATTACTGACATATCACCTACCATACCTAGAAAATGAGAATTGAACATGATTGAAATGAAAAACTACTTCAGTCTTTATGGGAAAAAGAGATCATGTTTCATTATGCTTAATTCTCAATGAAATGTCCTTATTATTGCATTTTCATCATGTGAAATAGTGACCATAGTGCAATAGTGCATTAAATTCAACATCCAGACATGAGACAACTTACATAGCAAGTCCTGCAGAGTTATATTTCACTTCAAAGAAGGGAAATTCTCCGAATGGAATAGACTGATGAAAAGAAAACTCAAATGGGAAGCCAAAAAGGCAATCCCACTCTAGAAAGCTTTGTGGTTGTTTAAAATCACAATAATAGAAACTCTGACATAATCAAAGGTTGATTCTGAGTAATTTTAATAGCCATAGAATAAAAGGGTGGGCCCTCTTGGATAAGCAACTAGGTAAAGAATAGAAAACAAAGAGTAAAAGTAAACACTCATTTCTCACAAGAAAAGAGGTTACTCTAGGATTCTGTCTAGGATCAGAATAAAATAGAATAACAGAGTTGGAAGGGACCTTGTTCAGGCAGGAAACCCTACACCACTTCAGACAAATGGTTATCCAATAGCTTCTTTAAAACTTCCAGTGTTGG